AAGAAGGCTACACTTTTGATATATATCCGGATGTCTTTCTTTTATGATTTGCAATCCAAGTTTGCTCATATATGTTTGGATACATACCCACTTGCTTTTTATTTATAATTTGTTGACTAAGTTCACATAAAGGCTTCTGCCAATATTTATATAATAGATTCTGCAGAAGCCTTCATACCATATATGCCTGGATACCCAGGTATATACTATTAGTCGCTACTCGTAATAGGGTAGGCAAGTGCCCTCACAAAGTAAGAAGATTCTATACTTATCTACTTTCGAACCACACCCGGTTTATACTAGTGATAGGGTAGGTAAGTGCCAATATTTTTATAACAGGTTTCGCACTTACCTACTCTAAGTATCCAATATATATTACATATATCTGTTTACCTTTTATTTACGTTTTGCTGACTAAGTTCGTGTGAAGGCTTCTCCCAATATTTTATATAATAATTCTGAAGAAGCCTTTACCATATATGCCTGGATATATACCCAGGTACATATCATCACCTGTTATGTCCGAATATATACTCGCAATAGGGTAGTCTTCTTCTATTATTTTATATAATATTTCTGAAGAAGACTACCCTAAGTATCACCTATTAAGAATGCGCTTATTCCTTGTTTCAGAAGATATTCAGAGTGAAGGCTTCTGCCAATATTTTTATAATAGATTACGCAGTTACCTTCACTTTCAGTTGTATATCTAGATAGTCTTCTTTTACGATTTGTTAGCTAAGTTTGCTATTGTTTTTTTTTGCATCTACCAAAAAAATTAAACATTTCTAATTTTTATAGAGTTATTATAACTTTTCGAACTAACAACATGCATACTTCAACTATTTTTGACCAAACTAATCACACTAGAACTGGCCCCCTCACCTGCTACGACGGTGCCAAGACCAATGAATATTTAAGTGACTCAAGCAGTTGTATTGATAATAGATCTGACTTAGAGTCAGATAATTATAATAACTACGAGTCTAATTATGAGTCAGATAATGAAGAAGCTCCTTGCACCTCAACCAGCATTACCGGGTCTCTATCAGTTCGGCTACTAAATGTAGAAGAGCAAAAGGCTAATATGATATACACTTTAAGGCAAGAAAAGTTTAATAATAATTTTTCTTCCAAGGACTTGCTAAATGCTATTCGGTATCTTCTCTCATCACTGTCTAGAAATATGTTAGATGATAAAGGTTCATTAGATTGTCTTCCAATCTTTTCATTTCTCTTTCCGAATGAAAAAGGGTCTAGTTTATATAATGCTTATGACCGAAATAAAGTGGAAGATAAATTGGTTATCAAAATCGACCAAGATGGTGATCGGGCCCCGAAGTTTTCCGTTGCAGATGACGTGTCAGAAGTATATGGTTTATCCAGGATTCATGAATGCATTAATGGTCAAAAACTTTTAAGAGCTGTAATTGATATCGATACTTCGCAAGAAGACATGGAAACAGCCAGTATTGAATGGCAAGAAGTATTCTTTTGAATCTGTTTTTCTTTTATAAGAGCTTTGTATTGAATTCTTGACTGTAGTTAGAAAGATATTCTCAAAGGGTTAGTACTTGCCACATCTTTGGATCCTAGCAAGTATAGCCACCATATTTCATATGCACTAGCTCTCCTTATCGATCATCATGAACTCAAAGTATTTACAGAATTATCTATACCTTAACTGGAGAAAAGTATGGTAAGTTTATTGATCAGGGATTACCTAGTCAAAATTTTAATCTTCGCCTCATTGGTTTAACAAAAAAGGGTCGCGTAAAGCGTATTCTTCAATTCTCATTAGATAATAGATGGAATAAACTCGATCATATTAGAATTCAACCACCTTCTAATTTGGGTCTTGAAGTAAGACCCTGTGTACTTAGCGTGGAAAAAAATAATAATCTACTAAGAATAATTGTGGGTCAGGATATACTACAAAAATACACAGAACTAGTTTTACAAAAGCATTCTAACTATCTTAGGGATTGTACTATCGAAGAAAGAGATTCACAAAACTTTGTATATTTTAACTGAAAGGCTCTACTAGAATGCCCACTATGTAAACATATACATGACAAGGATCAGCAGTAGTTTGGTTGTGTATGTGCTAGTAGTAGTACATTTATCGTGAAATGTTTTCGGCAAAATAGCGATGAACCTGGGGAAGTTTTTGAATATGACACATCTATTGCAAAAAAAAATCAGCAAAAAAATAAAAATTTACCACATGTTTTTCACAAAGTAAAAGGCCTAGGTTTCCCTAACACCTTCGTAAAAATGCTATCTTGGGTCAAGTATAATAAGGCCCTTATAGTGACAGAAATATATGAAGAGATGTATATAAGACCATTACCTAATAAAGGTAATATTTATGTAGAGTCGCCTTGGGAAACAGGAAAAACATATGTTCTTGAAAAATTCGTTATTTCCGATAACGTAAATTTGCTAGTATTATCTATGCGTCACTCTTACTCGAATGCTGTTACTACAAGACTTAATCTTAAGTCATATTGCGATTTCGATGGTAATATAAATCTACCCGATCACAAGAGGGTAGTTTGCCAGATAGAGAGTTTACATCGTATTATTAACAATTGTAAATGCAATAAAAAATGTAAATGTCCTCCGAGTCAATATGATTTATGGCTTGATGAAATAGTGTCTATAATTGCTCAGGTATAGAGTCATTTGGTCAGACAATCGATAGAGAAGTTATATAAATTGATCCAAGATGCAAGGTGCATTATCGTCGTGGATAATGATCTTACCGACCTAAATATCGAATGGATTAAAGCTCTTCGTAAGAATAAACTTTTCTCAATTATTCATAATACTTACCAGCCTCAGAAAGACAAGACACTCTGCCTGGCTCCTAATAAAGAAACTGTGCTAGCAAAGCTTTGGGATTGGGCCAAGCAGATGTCTTTATTACCTTTTGAAAATCGAACAAGTGTGTCGCTTATTTGCCATCTTAGAAAAGATATGCAAGGGATCATTTGCACTCTTAAGACTGATTTTTCTAAATTACGAATTAAGGAATACCATAGCAAATCTGATTCAGTAGAAAAGGCTCATGATTTTAGTAATGTCGAAGAAGCATAGAAAGATGTAGACCTAGTTGCCTATACTAGTACTCTAAAAATAGAAGTATCTTGCACCAATCCTAAGTTTAAGCGAGCATTCTGCATTTTTAATAGTTATATAGAAACAAATACTAGGACGAATCAGATGTTATTCCGTATACGGTATATTAAAGATTACATGTGTTGTATTGAGCAGAGATCGTCTAATGTTCCTATCACAGAGAAGAGATTATTTCAATGGTTGTTAAGTGCTAAACGTGAATGTCTCTCTAGGGAACTTCAGAATAGAGGAATATTCCCAGATGTAGATTCTATTATCCGGAATAAGGACGTACCAACTATTCGATTGTGGGTAGTATATATGTTGGAGAAATTCTGTTCCCGGCATTTGTTTGGTTGGAGAATGGCCAATTTTCTTAGAGACAACTGATCAAAAGCATTCATCTGATAATACACTTACTGAGCAAGAAGCTATCAGATGTACAGAGAAAATAGCCCAGATATTTGAGTTATATGAGCAAAATTCGAAGGTGTATAATATGCTTTTTGGGAAAATTGACGTACTAGCAAAAAAGCTAGATGATTATCATTCTGAGTATATCAGCTTAAAAAAGATAGTAAAAAGACTGAAAAGAGATGTAGAGTCCCTAGAAACTGAATTAGAAGATTTAGATGACTGTGTGAATAAGGACACTGTGGTTGACTTAATACATGAAATAGTTCTCTCGCTGATTAATGAAAAAGGTAAGAGTTCCTCCTATTCGTCCAAGACTTCTGAAGAATCTGATTCGGCTGAGACATTTGAGGTAAGAGAACAAAAGGCTGTTCCTCATAAGCAATGAAAAAAGGCACGGCCAAGAAAGGTTAAGATAAAGAAAATGGTTAGCAGTTCGAAGCGGTGATGCTAAATGTCTACTATTTTCCTAATGCTATTCTTGAGATCACAATTGAGTGATCTATTTTTAATACAGGTAGAAAAGTGTCGATATGAAATAAAAATCTATGAAATGTGTACCTCTTTTCTTCACTAATTATCCATAATTGTCAGTAGATCGATCGGTCCTTGGTTTATACTAAATAATTCGTGAATAAATAGATCACCAAATCCGAAATTGTTTTTTTAATCTGCAAATTAGTTTTGTTAGTCGTGAAAGTACATAATGAATAAAAATGAGCAGAGTATAGAATTAACCGCAATACTTATCCATTTATAACTCTTTATACCGTATTCTAACTCTCAACTGTAAAAATTTTTATCTTTGAATATGTCTACTGACCCAACTCCGAAAAATATTTCATGTCTCAAAACTCTTGCATTGAATATTCTTAAGAATAGCTCACCAGATACTATTGCAAAAGATATTGGAGTTCCAGAACTAGACCCATGCTCAAGGTATAAAAAATAGCTTTTTTTGTACGAACTTAAAAAACCATTTACCATACTCGTCTGTGGACATATATACTACCATAGTTGTCTTGAGAATTATGTAAAAAATCTCCTACAATGCCCTAAATATGCAATAGAAATTGAATCTATTGATTATGTGCATTCTGGCACTTCTAAGCAAAATACCTTGGACCTAATGCAAATTTCACCACAAATGGCACAAATAGTGTCCGATCAGAGCCAGAATATAGTAACCTCAGATACAACGCATATTTCTAACCCACCTTATTGGATCCCTTATTATTTCAAGACTATACAAAATGAACCCAAACTGTTAAACCAAAATCTAAAAAAAGATTATGTGAAGAAGGTATAAAAAAAAAACCTACAAATCTAAAGAAATTAATTGATGAGTTGACTACCAAAAATTTAGATTCTACAGAAAATATTATTACACAGTCAAGTTCAGTACCTACTGGTGAAAATAATCCTGAGTCAGTTAATTTTCTTAACTTATATCGTCAGATTGTAAAAGCTGAAGATGGTAATAAAAAAGCCATTCAAGATATTATTAGAGCCTATTATAATTTTGGCCATGATCTTAAAAAACGTCTTAAATACCATAAAAAAAATCACAAAAAACAAGTATAAAGTTAGAAGCCAACTCCCAAAAGAGATAAGTGATGATGCATTACATAAAAAAACAGAGCGAGCTCGGAAAATATATTATTTTTTTGATGCTATAGGTGAAAATAAAATAGATAGAATTAGTTC